ATGTGAGTAACCACGGACAGCGCAGTCGGATGTGAGTAACCACGGACAGCACAGTCGGATGCGGCTAACCACGGACAGCACAGTCGGATGTGAGTGGCCATGGACAGCACAGTCGGGTGTGAGTAACCACGGACAGCACAGTCGGATGCGGGTATCCAAGGACAGCACAGTCGGATGCGGCTAACCACGGGCGGCACAGTCGGATGTGAGTAGCCATGGACAGCACAGTCGGGTGTGAGTAACCATGGACAGCACAGTCTGATTAGTGTAACCACGGACAGCACAGTCGGATGCGGCTAACCACGGACAGCGCAGTCGGATGTGAGTAACCACGGACAGCGCAGTCGGATGTGGTAACACGGACAGCACAGTCGGATGCGGCTAACCACGGACAGCACAGCCGGATGTGAGTAGCCGTGGACAGCACAGTCGGGCAGCTAGTCGGATGTGAGTAACCATGGACAGCACAGTCTGATTAGTGTAACCACGGACAGCACAGGTCGGATGTGGATAACACGCACCAGGAATCAGCGGAGCCTATGCTAGTTGACGAAACATGGCTGAATAGCATGGCGGAGAGACAGGTGGCCTTACGGATGAATGGATACTTATCCGCGGGGATTGAAGACTCGGAACCTGTAACAATTGGAAGGACTTTAACTTATGTGGACTGACGGCTTCTTATCCCTGTGACATTAATGAACAGCCTGCGCGAACAGCATGAGCCTGGACCGACCTGCGTACCTGACAGGCTGACCTGACGGACAACCTGTGTGAACTGGCGGACCGTGACCTGGCGGAGGACCGTGTGAACTGATGGGTCGTGGCCCGTGCACAAAACAGCGGTGAATTACCGCCCGTGGCCTGAATGTACTGCGACCTGTAGGGATTCACGGACCGCAAGCCGTATGAGTTGGCAGAGAGCGACCTGCGCAGACTGAAGGGTCGTAGCGTGGCCCGGGCTGGCACGCTGTGATGTGTGTGGATTGTGGAATACCCCTCCAGGCCGTGCCAATGACTAAGATCTCGGCCAAAAAGCCGGACGCGAACAACACATGCGATGGCCATTGATCATGCATAATGGACCAGCGTTTGTCAAAGAGCGCTACTATCAAAACAGGCATTGCGCAGGCGCTGGACTGAAAAGGCAATGGTTTTCCATTTCCGCCAGCACAACCGAAAACAAGCACTACAAAACGGAGATGATGTATGCCGGTGCGTTTTGACGGACGGCGCCATGATTTGCACGCAAATGTTTAGGCGCGTTGACAGTGATGGCGTGAATCACGCCCGTATCGTGTGACTGAGCTCTGCACAGTCGAGCGGCGTCACAGCCCGCGGCCGCTCCCACACGTCTCACGTGCAGTCCTCACTCCAGGCGCAACACTCGCAGCTGGCGTCTGTTTGCGCCTGGACGGCGCTGGGAGCGAGGGGCGGCGCGTCGGCGGCGCCCGAGCGGCCTGTTCCGCCGCGGCCCGCTCGCCGCCCTCTCGCGCTGGCCTGCCGCCGCGGCCGCGAGCGGCGGCTGAACGCGGCGGTGCGCCGCGCCATCCGCCTGGCCGGAGAAAGGTCGCGCGCAGCCGCGGAGACGGCCGGAGGGGACACCCGGGAGACACGCGCCGAGACCGAGGAGCGACGGCTGGCGTATGCTCTGTGTGGCGAGGGAAGGTCCGCGCATCGACGGCGCCGGTGAAGGTACCCCGCCGCGTCGAGTGTGGGTGGTCCCTCTCTCCGCTTACCGTTCAGACACACAGTGGTACGCGCCGACGATTTGAGTGGGAGAGGAGGCGACCAACAGAGGAGACGAGACGCCAGTGATGCCATAAGAACGTGGGCATATTGGATGCCTCACAAAATGTTTATATCTTTATGTGGCCTGGAGACAGCAAAGCTTCACACGAACAAGGATTTTGTTTTTCAATGAGGCCATTGCGGGTTAAGTTCAGACTTCTTCGGCGCTTTGGACACTGTTGCAAGCAGTCTAACGACTAAGAGTTCATGAAATCGCCAAAGCACGTGACGACGATTGGAGCACCAATCGCAACGCGTGTTCTGCCGCGTTAACAGGCTTAATCGCAGAAATGCGGTACCGCGGTAGTATTTAAATGTTTTAAACTGAGAAACACATGGGTAACAGGCTTTGCTTATGTTAAGATTGACCCAGGATGTAATGCTAATCAATCGCTCAAAAATTATGTTGGATGAGAGACATATGGTTTGTTTCGTTACTTATGTTGGGTCAGAAACATACCTTAAGCACGTAAACCTGAAACATATGAGTATCGATAACAAACACATGGCTGCCTGGCACAACTGCCTCTACGAAACAAAATTCGCGACCATAACCATATATAACTAAAACTGAGCATGACGGAATGCGGGAACGAATGTCAAACGCTCCACCAGATTGCCAGAAACCAAGCTTCGAATCAAAATGAGCCTCGAACGTGTATTTTTTCACCATTCCGACTGCGTCATGTGACTTCATAAAGCGCACATCACGCGCCTAAGCACAAGTTCCTGGAACCTTAAGTCGAACACCGCATCATTTCTAGCTGTGAACGAAAGGCCGCGCACCAACTGAGAGTCATCGCCAATTAGTGTCCTTGAAATACTGCGCAAAAGAGTAAAACGCGTTTTGGTGATTGCGCTTGGTGTACAACGTCGGTCGTATCCACACCATCCGTGGTCAAGCCTAGCTATATCCAATGCATAGCCTTGCGACAGGGTGCCACCAACACAAACCGTCCTGCACCAATCGAAAAATTGTCGGACAAAGATGGATCGGAGGACAGAAACGTTTCCAAGCCGAATCGTGTTGCCTACTCCACACGTCAACGTGCAAAGCATTTACGGACTGCTTCAAGGAAGAAGTGAAGTTCGTTGCTTAAACCTACTGCAGATTTCAGAAGAATAGAGAAGAAACCCCCATTGACACTGGTGCTGCCAAACCGCTCACAGTGACACAAATGCACGATATGCTTGTTTGCCAGCCGTAAGGAGGGGGGGGGGGGGGTTGAGGAGCTCGATTACGTCACAACTTCAGGGGTATTCTCGCCTTTTCAGCTTAACTGAGTCCCTGGAGGAAAACCCGCAGACTTCAGACCTTCAGAGCTTTTCGAGAGGAACTGTTAACGGGACCGAGCCAGACACAGGCGTGTGCTCGGCGTTGGGCTGATTCCGAGCCTGACACAAGCGTGTGATCGGCGTCGGGCTGATTCCGAGCCTGACACAGACGTGTGCTTGGCGCCGGGTTGGTTCCGAGCCTGACACAGACGTGTGCTTGGCGCCGGGCTGATTCCGAGCCTGACACAGGCGTGTGCTCGGCGTCGGGCTGATTTCGAGCTTGACACAGACGTGTGCTCGGCGCCGGGCTGATTCCGAGCCTGACACAGACGTGTGCTCGGCGTCGGGCTGATTCCGAGCCTGACACAGACATGTGCTCGGCGCCGGGCCGATTTCGAGCCTGACACAGACGTGTGTTCGGCGTCGGGCCGATTTCGAGCCTGACACAGACGTGTGCTCGGCGCCGGGCCGATTTCGAGCCTGACACAGACATGTGCTCGGCGCCGGGCCGATTTCGAGCCTGACACAGACGTGTGCTCGGCGCCGGGCCGATTTCGAGCCTGACACAGACGTGTGTTCGGCGCCGGGCTGATTCCCGATAACCGCCATTTTTATATGGACATCCGCAAGAACATAAGCGAAGAATGCGAAGGGTCAGGTCAGCAGAGATGCATGCTTCTCATGCCGGTGGGATATACCCTTCACCTCGGATTTTCTTTAATGCCGTCTCCAATGACCTAAGATGAAGCCCCCCGCCATTCCCACCGAGACCACGAATAGCCAACACAAAATTTGGGGTGGCGTGAAGTGCTTATGCCACCAGGCACATGTCCGATGCCAAGAAAGGTTGTTTAATCTTGTTTCCACTGGGGCGAGCAGGATCTATCCTCAAATCGCTACTTCACCCTCATGTACCAAACCACTTGAGAATTTTCACTTTTAGCTTTGTCTGCAGACATACGCTACGAAAAGTACCATATAGACGCTCTCGGCCCCGTAAGGTGCCAGCCAAACCTTAAACTTTGAAGAATTGCTGCGCAGTAAAGAGAAAACTTTCGTAGACAACTGAGCCGGGAGAGCATGGTACAGTTTTCTACCCACTTAATATAGCGGTCCCTCGGTACGTCTTATCCCAAGAAATACAAAAACCGTGTCATCTACATTCAAACCCCTCTCCGGAGTTAAGCGCCACTGGCGTTCAAATCGCTGAAATTCGCGAGTTTCCCTTTTTCCAAAGATCACTGGTTCGGATGGAAAAGAAAAGAAAACTGACGCAGTTCCTAAATTATGACAGTATGGCATAATTCAGCCCAGAGGACTACAGACAGCCATTGTATTAAAGACTACGACGATTCCCGGGCACCTACACCTATCTGATCTAAAATGTAACCGTAGAAGCATTCTTCGAGCGGGGCATGACGGATGTCAGGTAAGTGGAAAGGGAAAAACAGCCCTCCCCTCCTCTTGGCAGCACAAATGCTGCACTCGGTACAATCTCGAACAAATTTGGCCAATCATCTTGGGGAAAGATAATTTCAGCTCGTGAGTTCGTGGACTTCACGTCGAAAGTGCGACTACTTCGTCCATACAGCGCCCGGGGCAGCCGTGATTCCTGCAGCTCAAGGCTCGCTCACTGAGTGGCCTTCACCATTACGGCCGACATGTTGCATCGCGCGCAAGGGGTGGGAGGTCACCCGCTGCATGATACGGCTCCTCGCGTCCTCAGCCTAGCCTTCCTTCCTCCCTTCAGGACACGATCGCGTCGAGAAAACGAAAGCTACCATATTCAGTTGCAACGTTGCCGGCGAACACCGGAGCTCTACATGACAACGCTTGACCTGTACAGTTGGACAAACTGTACAGTTGGACAACCGCAACAGTTGGACAACCTGTCGACCGCAGCCGACTCCTGCCAGCGCGTGGCGGCCACTCACCTTCCAGCTTCATCCCGACAGAGATGCACTTCTGGTAGCGGCAGTAGGGACACCGCTTGCGCTGCATCTTGTCGATCTGGCAGCTCTTGTCTGCCACGCACGTGTACGCCTTTTTGTTCTGCACGGTCCGTTTGAAGAAGCCCTTGCACGACTCGCAGGTGAGCAGGCCGTAGTGGTAGCCAGACACCTTGTCGCCACAGACGGGGCACAGCTCCTCAATGCCCTCCTTGGTGTCGGGCAGCTCCTGGTGCAGGTTGTACTGGTGCTCGCCCATGGCCAGGCCGGCGCCGCTCGGCGAGAACAGGCACGGCTCGTCCAGCAGCGGCGAGCCCATGATGCTGTTGTTGTTGGACACCTGCACGGGGGTGTAGACGGGTGGGTTGACGCTGGTCAGGGCCGGCATGCCGCTCTGAGACGTCCGTCAGGGCGCCGTACCCACCCACTGGACCTGGTGCACGTGTGCGTGCTGCTGCTGTTGCTGCTGTTGCTGCTGCTGCTGCTGCTGTTGCTGCTGCTGCTGCTGCTGTTGCTGTTGCTGCTGCTGTTGTTGCTGCTGCTGCTGCTGTTGGTGAGCCGGGTGCACCGCCATCGGGCTGAAGTTGGGCTGCACGTGCGCCATGGGCATGTCCATGTCGGAGATCATGGCGGGACTGATGTGGCAGGCGGGCTGGGCGGCGCTCCGCTCCGCGTCGCCGGCCTCGGCCCTGCTGACTGCTGGCCGATCCGGCCCGCCGGCGCGCACGTGAGCCGCCCGCTCCGTCCCCGCCGCGCTGCGCTCCGCACTCCACATCAGGCTGGCGCGCACTGACGCCGCACGCCGGATAGTGAAAGTGATTCTGGGGTGACCCAATTTGGTTTCTTTAGGGCCTATGCAAGTCTGATAGCAGCTAGCCCAGTGACCTACTTCGTCGGCCCGAGCAACAAGGGCCCGCGCGCGCCGACCAATCGATGGCGCCGGGCCCTTGTTGCCCGTCAGCCGCGGGAACGAGGCGGCGGGCAAGAACGGCACATCGTGGCGGCGAGCTGCATCGCTGACAACGCGCGCCGCCAGTGCGTGTGTCTTTTTGCCACGGGGACCACGTGGCGGTCGTAATTCATTCGTGCCCCAATTGTGTTAGCACTCTCGGAGCAGTTTTCTTGACCTTGCTCCTCTCGTCCTGTTCCAAACCAATGCAAAAGAAAGTGAACCTGTTAATAGTGGGCAGGCCTGGGGTCTCATCGCGAAAGGCTGACGACTGTCTCTCGGTTGGGGTTTCAGCGGCAGGAAAAGAGGACAAGGCATGTTAGTGCGTGTCGAAGGCAATGCATCTGGGGGCGTAATTAATGAATCGGGCAGTGGTGTGTTCGATGTCAGTTCGGTGCTGTCTAACTTAAAAGCCCACGCCACGCCGCCGCGACTGTTTGCTTGGCTGCATGGGGATATAATTTACCCTTGCTGATGGACTACTTTTCAGACTAAAATCCTCGAAATAGACTGGCTTCATACATTTCTCCAGGTTTGCATGCTTGCGGATATTGGGGTGTGTCATTACCGAGCAAAAAACGTTTGCTATCACTGTGAATTTAAATGGAAATTTCCGTGTGAATCATTGCTATTGGCGAGTTTGATCCATTTCTGCTATAGCGTGTGGAAACGGCAGAGCCAGGCCCAAAAAATCGTTTTTTCCGGTAAATATTTACGAAATGCAACATATCTATCTTTTTCATCTGGTATCCTCCTGTTTGCCTCGAAATCCCTCTTTATTTCTCAAATCACTTTGCTAGATTCGGAAAAATGACGATAGACTCTTCCCCCAAAAAGCAAACAATTAGGATGTAAAACAGCGGCTTTTAATCCTAAAAAACTGAAATGCTACCAGTGTTTTATTTAGCGCTTTCCCGGCGGTAATATTATGCACTGAAACGTCATAATGGCAAGGTCCTTACCGCTTACTCGCTTCCTATTTCGACCATGTTGAGAACAGAAATTAGAAGACTCCCAGTTAAAGGCAATAGATAAAGTGAGCCATGAGGCATTTACAGCTGCCATATCTTTAAGTCGAACACGATTTGGGGAAGGCCCAGTCCACTCAACAAGTGCAGGATGGGAGGCAGATGCCGCACAGTGATTCTTCCATTAAATAAACATTTTGGTCCATACAGTTACGGCCAAAACCAATGCAAAACAGTGATAATGTTCATACCGTCGCGATCTGTTGCAAATAAAAAGTTGCTTCTTGGAAAAAGGGCACGCTTCTTGAGGAAAATGTGAATGATAGAAATACGCAAGTAACCCGATTCCCTGAAAAGGAATGTTTCACATTTGATGATCTTGAAGCAAGCACCGGATATGATGAAACAAGCTCACTTATAACCGTTGGTACACGTTTTAAGTTTAAAAGACTGCTCTAGACAACGCAGTTCTCTGTTTAGTAAATATGCTCCTCAATGCGCCATGGTTTGAATACGCTATCGTACCTTGCACAACGTCGATTGAGAGCCAATTGATGGGCGCTATATCTAGAAATCGTACTCGCGAACACCTGATATGAACGACTCGACGATGTTATTTTTCCTGCCCTTGTGCGCCGCATACCCAATGGAGTAGCAGGATTACAACAACGTTATTATGGCATTATGGATGCATGGGTGACCTTGGAAAAGTCTCCCCGATATTTCTTTCCCCATTTTTGCGGGCGTGCGGCTCAGAAACTAGATGGGCCTAAGTATTAAGAAGGGCAGGATTGTAAACAGCACCAAAATGTCTGCAAGATGGCTATTTGAGTTTCAAACCCCATCTGAATGTGGAACGCTCTCCTTAAAGTCACTTCAATAAATCGTACTGGAACGCATCTGAAATGGTTGTGCAAGGCTACCAGTTCAATTTGAGGCGTGCTTTCACTCCAGGCGACCGGATTTTGACTCTCACATATGGAGTTTATGTCCCACTCCGGCTATAACTCGGAGTGGGCATGACCATTTTGCTCCTACCCCTCGTTTTATTTCAAGAAGACAGAGCTCAGTTTCCGAGTCAATTCCAGTAGAGTCCATTACGAAAAATCGGGCTGGGTTCTAATCCGACACATGGGCTGAATTACATGCAAGCCTGCATCGCGCGTTTATTTTCTGTGTGACACGGGAATATGCCAGGTGCTCCATCGACTGCGAGGCTAACCTCGCTGATAAAACACTCGCCATACCAATCATATTCCTTTGCAGTTGTTTTATCTGTGATAACAGGCAGCCATTGTGCTTAAATGTATTCCGACCGGTCCAACTCTAATTCTCAACTGATTCAAATCCATGGTAGCGTTGGCGAACGCTTAAATTTGCTTGAATGATTCCAAATATTTTAGAAATATAATTCATAGTCAATTTCTCAGATAAAACTGTTTCTCTCCGCAGTCATTTATGTTCTAGCACGAAAACAGGTGCGCCTTTATTTCGTCTTGAACTCCAGCTTGGCTAGTCAGGTTTGATCCTGCTGCCGCTCTTCCCCTAAACGCTGGTGCAGTTAGCTGGGGCAGCCTACCGCTCTTCCCCTAAACGCTGGTGCAGTTAGTTGGGGCGGCCTACCGCTCTTCTCCTAGACGCTGGCGCGGTCGGCTGGGGAGGCCGGGGATCTGTCCGACCGAGCTCCTCTGCCTGTGTTTCTAGTGTCTGTGCGATGGTGTCTCGCAGACGAGCTCTCCAGTGTCTGTGTGATGGTGTCGCGCAGACGAGCTTTCCAGTGTCTGTGCGATGGTGTCGCGCAGACGAGCTCTCCGGGGTCTGTGCGATGGTATCGCGCAGACGAGCTCTCCAGTGTCTGTGCGATGGTGTCGCGCAGACGAGCTCTCCAGTGTCTGTGCGATGGTGTCGCGCAGACGAGCTCTCCAGTGTCTGTGCGATGGTGTCACGCAGACGAGCCCTCCAGTGTCTGTGCGATGATGTCACGCAGACAAGCGCGATGCGGCCACCAGCTTCTGCGTTCCACGAATTTAGATAAACCAAGGTGCGAGAAAGTGTCTGAGGTATAGATGCACCAAGGTTCGACGAAGGCTGTGGGGAATAAATGTACCAAGGTACGAGGAAGAGTCTGAGTGATGAATGCACCAACGTGCGGGGAAGGGTCTGAGACATTGGTATGCGAGGACGGGTCTGAGGCATTGGCATGCGAGGACGGGTCTAAGGCATTGGTATGCTAGGACGAGTCTGAGGCATGTATGTACAAAGGTCCTAGGAAGGATCTGAGGTAAAGATGAATGCACCAATGTGCAAGGAAGGGTCTGAGGCATTGGTATACGAGGAAGGGCCTGAGGCATGTATGTGAAAAGGTGAGAGGAAGGGTATGAGGTAAAGATGCATGCAACAAGGTGCGACGAAAGGCCTGCAGTATAGATGCACCACGGTGCGAGGAAGGGTCTGGACTATGGATGTGCGAGAAGTGGTCTGGGGTGTTGATGCGCCAAGGTGCGTACCGTGATGATGGGTCTGCGGGGCACGGTGTTGTTGTTTAGGGAGCTGAGGGGCTGTGTTTTAACAATGTTGACGTGTACCGAATACATGAAAACGTCAGTCTTGCTCCTTCCACTGAAAATATCGGTGCAAGACGCATCCTGACACAAAAGGCCTCGCCATGCTCTCCTGCCATTTGACCTAACGAGACGAATCTCTTCTCTGGGCGGAGCCCTTACAAATGAGAACTGAATCCGTTTTAATTGCGAGGAGCACATGTGTTTTATGTTACCAACAATGCTTTTGCTTGTTCCAAGAACAGTTGGCTGTTGACGACGCACATTTCTGCCTGTCATATGTGTTCCAGTGCTTTCCAGCAACGCAAGCCGGCCGTCGCCTTCACACCGTGCCCTCTCCCCTCCCCTCACCACAAATCGTACCAACACTCCTGAATTTCCATAGCCTCCCCACCTGACGCACGAGCGAAAATGAGCCCGAGCAAACAGGTCGTTCCATAACTCACGTGTCGTAAATGACCTCAGAGCGTCGGAGCAGCGCGCTCGGCCGGCCGTCACTTTCATTTTTCCACGGCTGAGGACACTGCGGCCGTGTCATCTGCCGTTGCACAACCGGCCCTCTGGCGGCAGCCCAGCTGTTTGCTGTCCTGGCACCGCCGCCGCCGCCGCCGCCGCCGCCGCCGCTGCTGCTGGGCCACACCTGCCGGGGGCGCGCTGCACCTGCCCAGGTCGCGCGGCACGCTCAGGCGGCCGGCGGGAGCTGGGGCGGCAGCGCAGCGTCACACGCCCGTCACCACGAGCGGCGGCAGCTGGTGACAGCAGGAGCTTACGGTGCCGCTGCGGCCGGCATGATTATACAGCTCGGGCAGCTGGCCTGTGATTACTGGCATGGAGCGACCGGTCTGATGGCCCACCGATGACCGGGAGGTCAAAGTCAAAGTCGTTGATGAGATTTGAGGCCATGGTGCAGAACGTGGC